ATGGGAAGACAGGAGCTGCAATAAGTCTGGTATTTCTTTTCCTTCTCCACGAGGATTTTCTTTTCTTGGTTGTGACCTTTTCAACGCATTGCCAATGTCGAAACCTTTGCTGTAGTAGGGTATGATTGTATAGTGGGATGTTGATTTTGGACCAAAACAAATCGATAAGTACATCCACAAAATGACAACCATGCCAATGTGTGTGCATTATTAATAGTTGGCATTGTCAACTACAGTATAAAGAATGACCGTAGGGCTTGTAAGCCAACATTTTTTTTATATGCCAAAAGTTTTTTCTATGCTAACATTTCCTTGTTGTTGTTTTTATTGTCAATTTTCTTTTGTGTTGTTTTCTTAAATTAATCCGAGATATCTTCAGTTATTGACACTTGTAGGAGGTTATGTCGACACAAATGATTCAAGTATTTGAGTTGGTGTGTAATAGTTGGCCTTGGTGTTGCATATGCAGGAAGACAGGATTAGAAGGTGAAGTATCTCAGTTGTCACCCGTAGAGTGACATTTTGTTTCATAAAAGGATTAGCCTAGTTTCTAAAGTCTTAGTGAAGAAGTTTACCAAACTATTAGAACAAATCTTTATCACAAATGGGTTGGAATATGGTTCGAGGGGATTTTGCTATACATCTGTTAAACACCTTTCGTTGGGAATATTATTTGTTCTTGAAATTTTTGCGACTCAAAACTAATTGAATGGTTAAGCATGCTCTATTTAGTACGCTTTTGCCCATTATGGTATTGTATCAGAACATATGTTGTATAGTGTTTATTGTTTTTTAGAATTTTGATGAATTAAATATGCAGTTTCATTTGAAGCTTACTTTATTTTATTAACAGACAAAAAGGAAATCATCTCCAATTTTGGAAGATGCAAAATCTTCAATTGATGTGATTTTCTTCACCACGATMTCATTGGGCTKTATTTSTGTTGTGTCTTGCAGGGAAGATATTACTCGAGCTATTATCTTTGCCTTAATGGACAGAAGTGATTCAGAACTGGGCCAACCGCTTACACTGTTTCTGTATAGGCCTTGGCTTCCTTTACCTTTGGAAGCAGGTAAGTGAAATTAATTCTTGGTTTAGTTTTCTAATTTTATGTTGTCCTTTGTTTCTTTTGGTTTATAGGAATGTTTGAGGCAGCAACTGTGGTATCCCTAATGTTCAAGGAAGAAATCAATAAATATTTTGAAATGACCCTTCTTTCTTGTGCCTATGCTAGAACTTGGAAATGTACTCAAGGTCTTGTATCTATATTTTGGTCACGCCTATAGATTACTTTTAACATTCAAAGTTGTTGACAATATGTTTTGATACAGATTTAAAATCGTCTTGGTTATTGGGCTCACATCTTGACATGGGTGAGACTCACCAAGGTCTTGCTGTTCTTGTTATTGCATGGGTTGAAATTTTTGAAGATTTGTGTCTTGGGATGGAGATTGGATCATTAGAACATTTATTACATTTTGAAGAGCAGAACACCTGGAGGGTAGTTCCTTTAGTTCTTCGTCTCCTTTGCATTTGCAATATGAAGGTAAGACATATGTGATATACAAATTTGTTGAATCCTAATAGCTTTCAACTGAACTAAAAAAGGGCTTTGGACGGAGTTTAATTAGGTTGGTTTGGTTAGCATTGCATAGTTTCCGAGAAACCTTTAGAAAACAGGGCATAGTTTTTTTCTAATGTGTGGTTTGCTGTTGTGGAGAAGTTGTTGCCAAAAGGGAACAATTTTAAACAACAAAAGTCTCCATTCTTTTTCTTTTGTTCTCTTTCCCTCCTTCCTTTCCTCTCTCTGTCCCTCATCCCAAACACATCTAAGCTAATCCTTCTTTGTTTATATGTTTGTCTAATGGGGAAACATATGGCAAATGTTCTGTTTCATTTTTCTTTTGTCAATGCTTTCGTGAATGCCGATTCCAGCCACGTCACTGTCTAATCATGTGGCGGTGTTTATTTTTATGAATTCTGTTTCTACATGCTTACTGGAAATCCTCTTCCATCATTTTGTCGGCTAAGTCGATGATTG